CGGTGATCTAACACTGAACAGGCACATGTTAGAGTAATGCATGCTAGACATGGTGTAGTATGTAGAATCCGCCGCCTGCTTCCATGTGTGTGGGCAGTGCTGTTCAGATACTGTCTGCTCCCCGTCCAGCTGATGGTCCGTCTGAAGGACATCTGCTCCATGACGAAGGAGAAGACGGCCCGCCTCATTCCCAACGCCATCCAGCTGTGCACCGAGTCCGAAAAGGTGAGGATGGGTCTGTGGGCCAGCAGGGGGCGTAGCGATTAAGGGGTCGGGTTAAATGTTGCGAGTCCTTCTAAAATGTCCTTTTAACAAAGCGCGAAGGCTGTCTGGAGGATCTCCTCAGGATCTAAAAGCCCGAGGATTCCTAGGGCAACGTCCCGCGGCGATTGTGATGCCATTGTTGTCGTAGGCCACGCAGCACTCCATGACACAAGCAAACCTCGATCGTCTGTCAGCCAGGATAAAAGTAGCAGTCAGAAAGTAGTCGGACCAAAGATTGTATATAAACACCATTTCGACCCTCTATGATTGTAATGATGACATGAATAACTAGCAAATTTGAAGAATGGTTGACTGAGAAAGTCTGGAAATACATGAATCCTCGCTACTATCTAACTAATCCTAACTAAAATAAAATACGTTTGTTACTGCAATACTTGTGTATGTGTTATCGCTTTTATTTCTTTAATTTGGTTTTTATATAATTGTTTATTTTCATTTGAAATCTAGTTTGCTTTTAGTTTTTGGTGAGGCTCATTTGTTTTTATTTTAAAGATGTTGCTATATTTTACCACAGATTTTAGTCATTGTATTTTTAGGGATAGACAGAAAGCTGTAGGACTCTCTACAAAGTGCAGCGATGTAGTGCATTGGCTCTTTCTGCATGGGATGGGCAAAGATCAGCTGGTTTTGGAAGCAATACTTAGTTCTCATTTAGTTGTTTTTATTTTCATCTCCTATTGTATCTTAGTTTTAGGAATTGTTTTCGTTAATAATAGCCCTGCCTCATACTGTAAGTACAAAGTGCACGGTTACTTTTAGTGAAATTCCTACTTATTCTTATAACATCTATTGTACTGAGTAACAAGGTCGTGGCAGTAGCTGTCCTCAAGCCGCTGTTCATCTGTTGATCTTCTGCATCTCCGCAGCACTTCTTAACCTCATTCGGCGCCAGGGACCGGACCTACATGATGATGTTCAGGCTTTGGCAGAACGCACTCCTGGAAAAGGTCAGAACCTCAGCCCGGGGCCCGGTTTGGTGGGGGGAGCCGTCTCTCTATGGCTGCTACAGTGGTACACACTCATTTTTGATGCATGTGAACTGGGCCCTCAGTCTGTGCCCAGGAAGGCTCCCCCTGCTGGACAGAGGTTAGAGTCTGACACGGTTGTCTGTTGGGTGGCTGTTGTGTCCCTCCAGCCCCTCTGTCCCAAGGAGCTGTGGCACTTTGTGCACCAGTGCTATGGCAACGAATTGGGCCTCACCAGTGATGACGAGGATTATGTCCCCCCCGATGATGACTTCAACACTATGGGGTGAGTGGGGTCGCCTTTCTCCAAGCACGCCTCAGTTCACCGCCCCCTGGCCTCTTGTGGCTCCATGTCTGCTGGTCTGTGTACGGTGTGAAGTCCCACAGCGGCCTGTCCTTGATCCTGCCGTATTTCCCATAATGCCTCACTCCATATTTGTGCACCTGCGGAGTGTCTTATATGTGGGTGCCGGTGACCTTGCAGTTTTGCCGCGGCTTTTGATAAAACCCGTCCGAGCGGAAGAGGAGGAACGCTCTCCAGCCAACCATGACTCCATACCTCCCCGAAATCATCCACGGACTGTCGGCACGGTGCCTCGAGCTGGTAACCTTGACCTTCAGCTGTTGCCCCCCGCCCTGGTGCAGGTACAACGAGGAGAACGAGGCCAACGACAGCTCATCCAAGAGCAGCGCCGAGGCGCGGCCAGAGCCCAGCCCCCAGCTGCCCCGCAAGCCCCTCCCCCACGGAGGCGTAAGGAAGCACCGCGGCCGCCTGACGCCTCCTCCAGTAAACCCCCTAAATTAGCTTCATAATCATGACAGTCTAGCTTAACTATTTACCCACGTGTACATTTCAAGAATCTTATACAACCGTAAGTGCAGTTTGCATGTTCTCCTCGTGTCGTCGGGGGGGGTTTTCTGATTAACGTTCTGACCCGAGCAGTGTCTGTACCTCCCCTGCCTACAGACCGACCTCCCAACAGCAGAGGAGTACTCGAACTGCCTCGCCGACGGAGACCTCCTGGCCGTCCCACTGCCCAATGGAAAAGGGGCCGTTCCTCTGCCCAATGGTAAAGGGGAGGAGCCGGTGGCACCCTCGCCGTCGCTGGACTTCAACGACAACGAGGACCTCCCCACGGAGCTCAGCGACTCCTCAGAAACGCACGATGAAGGTTAGAGCGCCCCCTACAGCACACAGTTTGTACTACGCTCTTGTTTCCGATTACAGTTGGCCCTTCGTATCCATTGGTCCCTCATCCACGGATTCAACCAACCGTGGATCGAAAATTTTCGGGGGAAAAAAAAATTCCCAGAAGTTCCCCGTGCCACGCCTAACCTGTGCCAATGAAGTGATGTGCAGGCATACCCCACCGTAGCCTCTCACCATCTCAGATGCCCAGTCTCTCTCCAGCACTCATTGCTTGAGCACTGTTCGCCTCACGCCATTCATTCGTTGCTTGTGCTGTGTGCTGTGTACTGAATATGTATCGGATTTTTTATCTTGTGATATTGTGTTGTTTAGAGAATGACAACTATTTACATAGCATTTACATTGTGTTGGGTATTATAAGTATAGATATGAATATATAGATTTAGATATATAGATATAGATATATGGTTAAAAGTAGAGATGATTTAATGTATACAGGAGAATGTCCACAGGTTACATGCAAATACTGCACCATTGTATATAGGGGACTTAAGCATCCGTGAACTTTGGAGCAGTCCTCCGCAGACACAGAGGGATGCTTGTATTGCTTCTCCATAGCTGCACATGAGTAGGGAGGTGGTATCGGTGATGTGACAGCCCTTTATTCCTGGAGCTGGAGCTTTCTGAAGTGCACTCCTATCTCTCCCCCCACCCTGTCTCTGTCTCTCCGCAGTGGGTGAGGTGCAGGCCTTCCAAGAGGACCTGCCCGGAAAGCTGTACATCAATGAGATCTACAAGCTCAGCGTGGACAAGATGCACAGCCTGCTCTTCACAGAATCCCAGTTCATGAGGGACTTCCTGGAGCTGCGGAGGTTCTCAGGTCTGCCCCGTGTCCCTCCCGGCCCACGGTACCGTAACCGGACCCGGGCGCTGACGTGGGGCCGTGTCGTTCCCGCAGGCGTGGTGTACCGGCCGTGGAAGAAGGACGACGAGACGGGGAACCAGACACGGGAGATCATGTACACCATCTCCTTGAGCAACCCGCTGGCCCCCAAGACTGCCACCGTCACCGAGACGCAGGTGACACTCGGCGTCCTGCCTGTTTGCTGGGCGGGGCCAAAGGCTCATGAGCTCATGTGGGGAACATAATCAGTGAAACGTGTTGTGTGATTTCTCCTTGGTATTTGTACTACGCTGTCCGTACAGCCGTGTATAAGCTCCGGTTCATCATTTGATAAATACCCGTCATGCTGAGTAGCATGTGAGCTGTGGCGATGGGCATTAGCACACACCGGCGCTGCATGGGTTTCTTGATGTATGTTTACCCCTCCCTCTCCTCCTCCCTGCCTCTTTGTCTCCCTTCCTGCCTCCCTCTCTCCCTGTCTCACTCTCTCCCTCCCTCTCACTCTCCCCCTCCCTCTTTGTCTCCCTTCCTGCCTCCCTCTCTCACTCTCTTAACCGCACGCAGACGTTGTACAAGGCCAGTCAGGAGAGCGAGTGCTACATCATCGACGCCGAGGTGATCGCCCACGACGTCCCGTATCACGACTACTTTTACACGCTTAACCGCTACGTCCTGACGCGGGTGGCCAAGAACAAGTGCCGACTCAGGTAAGGCTGCAGCTTACTGCTCAATAACCAATCCAGAGGCAGTGGGTGAAGCTACAGCCTCTCTGTCTACCAGAATCGATGGCTGTCGGCTGTCTCGTGTCAGTGATCACATGACCTCAGTGATTCCCCCCCCCCCCCGGTTCGACAGGGCCTCCACGGAGCTCCGCTACAAAAAGCAGCCCTGGGGTCTCGTCAAGGGCTTCATCGAGAGAAACTTTTGGAGTGGCCTGGATGAGTACTTCAGACACCTAGGTGACTAGCGCCTCCCGCAGGGCAGTTTGTGCAGGTCCTGGTGGCCGTGACTGACCACTGGGCACATGCGCCCGGTCTTCTTCCTCCAGAGCTGGAGCTGAGTAAGACGGAGGCGGTGATGACGGAGCCCCCCAGGAACTCCCCCAAGTCTCGCGTGGCCAGGACCGCGATCTGCCGCCGCCGCAAGCGCGCGCTGTCGCACCTACGCGCCCAGCACCTGGAGGAGGAGCCGTTGAGCCTCGTGAGCACGCCCGAGCACGAGGAGGCCATCCACCGCATCCGGCACGTGCAGGGTCCGTGAGCTGTTCTGCCTTCGCGCTAACGCGGGCCTGTAGGGGGCGACGTTATCCTGCTTTTAACTAGCTAAAATCACCTAGATTCACCAGATTCCTCAGATTGTTATACTGGCTGCTGTACTGAGAGCCCTCCCCCTTCACAGGATCTACTCAGACCCGGCACATCCCCGAGGAGCTTCCAGGAGGCCTGGCTCTCTACAGCGTCTCCAGGCTGCTGTTGGTTGTCAGTCTTGTGTGAGTGTCCCGGCCGGGGGAGGGGAGCCGCTGGCCTTAACCTCCGTCATGCCCTCACACGCTCTTCCCTCGGCCGGAGGCAGGGGGCGCCGCTGGGTGGCAGGGTCGGTGTTCTGCTTTGACTCGCTCTTTGACCCCTCTCTCCTTGTTCCTCCGGCTTCCTGCAGGATCTGTGTAAGGTACACGTACTTTCACCATAGCCGTAGGAGGTGACATAGGGTTAGCGTGATACAGAACTGTCACAGGGGTCTGTCTGTCTCTGTCTGTCTCTGTCTGTCTGTCTGTTTAACTCTGGCGGTCTGTGTGCCAGTCTGTCTCTCCAAACTGATCTCTGATACCTGTGTGCCACAAAGTGTGTACTGAGTGTGTACTCTGTGCTTAGTATATACTCTGTGTGTACTGAGTGTGTACTCTGTGCTTAGTATATACTCGGTGTGTACTGAGTGTGTACTCTGTGCTTAGTATATACTCGGTGTGTACTGAGTGTGTACTCTGTCTCGCTACGAATCTTGCTC